CCACATTTACTATTTGGGTAAATTTACATAATGTACTGCAAAATTTAGTATCGTCTTTTTGGTCGATAAATGTCGATAAATAATGATGATTTTTTTTTTTCAAAATTTTATCTGGTCTGGTTGTTATTTCATATACATCATCTTATATACAGTGGGGCTTCAAGATACAAGCTTGAAGCCCCACTGTTAGCAATGTTAAATCCTAATTATTATTTGTGTTGGAACTGTTTTATGTTTTGTTCATCCAGCCTGCTAGAGGGCGCTAGTAGCAATTGTGGTGATATATTTAGCCAGCAGGTGGCCAGAGGTAAGTACCTTGCAGAATGACCATCAGTCCATGAGGTGTTTTTCAGTACAATCTGAAGCCATCCTCTCATTTCCAGCCCTTTGAGCAGCGATATGAGTAAGTTTTTACGTTAAATATGAATGTTGGCAAGTACATTTGTTGCACTTTGTTATAGTTTGTGATATTTTATACATGCTGTTTGTAAAATACAATACCTGCCTGTTCTCTTGAAATGATGCAAGAGAGAGTTTAGCTGGCTGTAAATCTCATATAGGACAGGGGGTCATGTTGGGTGCAACAGTACAATTATCAGTATATTTGATTATATCTATGTTTGTGGTGTTTATATGTGTACATTTTATTGTAATTATTTAATAGTATATTTCTCAGGGGCTGGAATCAATTGGTTTTATTTATTTTTAATGGGGAAAATGCAACCGAGTTACGAGTGGATCGACACACGAGTGCTGTTGTGGAACAGATTAAACTCGCATCTTGAAGCCTCACAGTATATCTTTGACTGACTGTTTTTCTGCTCAATCAAATGTTTGATTATCACGGTTTCTGCTACTGTACAAATCTGACAACCTAACAATAGAGAGCCCACTCTCTGTGGAATGTATTGAGCTAATTAGTGTCATGGTATATCACTCTGTGTATCTCTGTTGGTGTATGCTGTGGGTGCTGGCAGGTGCTCAGGCTGATTACACACACCTGTTTCCCACAATGGACTTACCTGCTGTATAAACACCTCTTGTCACAGCCCCGTCAACGGTGTGATCCACCTTCACAGTGATACTGGTGCGTTGTCCACTTTTGTCTCCCAGGTGTTTTTTTGTGCCATCTGGTGGAGTTTATGCTTAGTGACAAGATGTCATCTGTTTCTGTTTTGTCAATACTACCTTTAAAAAAAAAGCATAGGTGCCAAGCATTTGTTCTCCTTCTGACACAAAAATATTTTTTAAATCTAAAAATGTAGTCTTCACTGATGGGGATGAAAAAAATGACTTGCGGTTTTGCATCTTTTAGAATAGCAGAGATTTACCCTCAGGGCGGACATGTGCTGTGGAGCTGCACCAAATGTAAATGGTGTAAACACGTCTACTGGATCATCACAGACTGCAGTTTTCACCGTGTTCTTGCAAATTCCAGCAGCAAACTGCTCGAGACTCTATGCGTCAATGATGTTACTATTGGCTGAGTTCAATGTTTCAAGGACTTCAAGAGAAATTGGAAATTTCAAAATGGACGTCTTATAAATAGTTTGAAGATCCGTTTGCTTGTAAAGTGACAAGACTGTGGATCTGAGTTACATCAGTGTCTTATTTCTCAGACTGCACCTGAATTTGGGAAGCTTTTTTTTAATTGCAAGACTAAAGCAATTCTCTAAACACCACTACAGTAGTATTTCTAAAACAATAATAATTAATAACTTCATTTTTTATTTTTAATAAAGCAATAAATATATTCATATATTTATTTTAATAAAATATTTTCTAATGTCTTTTTTTTCTTTTCTTTTTTTTCTGGTTTTGCTGCATTTAACTTCCCAATCATGCAAGGTAACCTTTTAAATCAATGGCCTTCTGCCAGATTTTATTTCTAATGCCTTTATTAGTTTATTATGCATTTTCTGGCCTGGCCTTTAAAGAAAAGTACTTCAGTACCACTGATTTGTTCTGTACTGCACAGCCATTTACTCCCGTATTTCCTCAATGTCAGTACCTTCGTTAGACTGAGTTTGTGTGCTCTCTCCTGTGATCAGGAGAGAGCATGAGCTTAAGTAGTTTTAGCAGTTAAGACGTTCTGTACAAATTTCCGATCTGAAATCACAGTCATGGTCGATGACAAAGTGGCCTTTTTATGGCTCTATTATGAATTTACAGGAAGCTGAGCTTGACATTCATATTCCTTCACTCTTATTCTTCATAATCGTCCTTCATGCTGTCACAGTGATTCCTGCTCAGGCAGGATATTAATGAACTCAAGCTTCACGGGTTTCTGATGCACACCAGCCGTCTGCAACTCATCTCTCTGTCATATTTTCAAAGTCAGCGGAAGTCCTGACACAATCGCTCCTAAAGGCAGACGTGAGAATGAACCACATTAAACACAGTGGTGATGGATGATGTCTGCTGCCGGCATTTTCTCTCTGTAGCTTATATTTGATTGAGAGAACACCTTACTGTCATATTGTCACACTTAAAAACAGAACCAATATGTAATCTGCAGTGTACTATAGTCCTGTGTGTACAGGAGGTCCTCGGCTTACTGTATGTAGGAATTCTGTTGTAATAATGACGGGCTAATGCGCGTTCCTAAAAAAAACAACACAAATGAAAGCTAATGTAGCACAATCCAATGTATGACGTTCAAATGGGGAACATAAACAACGTCGTCATCTGCATATAGCATTGTGTGATGATGTATTCGTTCACTCCGCTCACCACCTCATTTACTATTTTCCAACACTTTTTAAAAGCTTTATGGAAACGCCGTCAAGAACATGGGAAACCAAGGAAGCCCTGTATAAGTGTAGACTGAGGGAATTGAAAAAAAAAAAAAAAGTAACACATTTGTGTATAAAGCAAGCAAGGCTTGGACAAATATTTCTAAGGACCTCTTCATGTCTTTTACCATCTGATGAAAATAATTAAATACAAACTTACTTCCATAATCCGTACTTTTTCACCTCTTAAAAAAGATCATTTCTGGTTTGCAAATGTTATTAAATAATCACTGACTTTATTAAAAGTAAATTAAGTTAGCAACAGTTAGCATCATTTTCTTTCATTTTATCAGTTTTTCCATCTGCAGGGAAAGTAAGTAATTGTTGTGTTAATCAATCTATATTAATTTTAATGCAAATCAGTGGATCTGACAGGCAAAGGGAAAATAAATAATGATTTTAAAGACTGCTGTGGATTTCTAGCAGCACGAATTCTTGTATCTTACTATCTAGCTAGCTCGTCGGCACTTCACCCGTCTCCTGTTGTTCTGCGTAATTCAGACAACAATTACCACACCCTCATAATTTATTTGTGTCCTCACTTCCCGAACCAACTGAAAACTGTTGGAAGCTGTCAATAGAATTAGTAAAATTGCCCGTTTCTCAACTTTTCGGTACACTTTGCAGGTAGCTCAGTGTTGACGTGCATCAGCAATTCACATGTAATGGAGTTCTATTATGCAATATTTTCAACTTTTCTGTTCCGGGGCTGCTGTTCTGTGTGGGATCTCTATTAGATCGATTGTTTGTTAACTATTGCGAGGAGTTACATGTGCAATGA